GGGGCGAAATGAATAAGTTAAGCTAAGTTATTAAATATGAAGCCACTTCGTTGTGAAGCAAAAGTTAGCACAATCATCGAATAGACTTTCACAATTGTGAGCGGGTTCGATCCTCAATAGGAGGCATACACTTTCACGTCTTGTCAGTTCGAGTCAAGAACTGACTGCATCCGCGCGCAGAGAGTTAAAGTCATACAATAGGTCTAATTTGTTTATTGTACATAATATGTCTACCATCTTGACTTTCGTGCAAACCTATGTCTACCATTTTGAATCTTATCCAAACCAAACCCATGTCTAACTTTTGATTCCAGTGAAAAACCAAATCGCGATCTACAATTTTGAATCTATGTCTGTTGATCAGTATACACTGTTCATGAAACGCACCAATTCTGGTACACTAGTTTTATTAAGTGAGCGATTAGTGTTTAAGAAACGAAAAGGATGTGAATATGTGTAAAACTAAGCAGAACCGTAACACGATAGAAAGAGTTATTTTCATGACATATCCGTTTTATCGTGTTTTGAGTTCTATTTCATATAAACAACACAAAAAAAAAAAACAGACGGATTCCTACAGTTCTTAATAGACACGTCCATGTGGAAATTAACACTGACTGTTATTTGCAATGAGCTTCTTCTCACGCCCCCCCCACACACACACATATATATATATATATATATATATATATATATATATATAGAGAGAGAGAGAGAGAGAGAGAGAGAGATAAATAGATAGATAGATAGATATACATTCTCACACACAGACACATATACGCACACACATATACACACACACATATATATGCATATATATATATATATATATATATATATATATATATATTTTTATTACTATTTTTATTATAAGAGATTATAATAAAAATATGTTGAAATCGCTACACACGTTTCAATACTATGATTCTATGACTCTTTCTTCAGGCGATGGTAAGTAACTAGTAATAAAATGATTTTTAAGAAAACTTAAAAAACAAAATGGTATCTATTTTCCGAAAGTTAAATTGGGGAGAACATAAGGTCAGAATTAAAAAGAGATTTGTGGGTGTGTCTTGATTAACCAATTAAATGTCAGATCTACTCTAAATAGAAAAGCAACCTCAGAGGGTGAAGGTGGGTGAGTTATTTTTTCATGCCATGATAAACCGGAACATAGACAGTCCATCATTGACAATACATTTCCGCTCCATCAGTTATCATTTTATCACCAGTTACCATTGCCTGAAGAAGTACAATCATAGTATTGAAACATGATAGCTTTAGTGTAGCGATTTCAAAATGTTTTTAAATATAAATTTAAATATAATTTATTTAAGTAAATGCTCTATTTTTTTTAATTAAACAATATTAATTACATTTACTCGCCTGAACACACACACATACACCCACCCGCACACACACACACACACACACACACACACACACACACACACACACACACACACACACACACACACACACACATATATATATATATATATGAAAAGTGAATATAAATATAAATAAATATATATATATGTATAATTATTTATATATTATATGCGCGGTACTTATTAGAAAGCGCTCAATATCAGAGATAGAGCTAACGGACGACCAAGTATGTATATGTATATGCGTCTGCATACATCGATGTTTGCGTTAGTACGATGAATGACAAAACGACGAAATTTCCCCCACCACTTCCACAATAACACCAATACACGCAATCTACATAAACCCAAATTTTTTAAAACATTAATCAGTTTGTCTGACGATCGCTAAAGCGTGAAACCCAGGGTCACAAACTCACATCTATCCAACCAAAATATATATATATATATATATATATATATATATATATATATATATATTATAGTATGAAAAATTAGCAAAAAAAAAATCGTGATGCGTTTCATCCGTTATAATTTAATCTGACTGGATTTATATATATATATATATATATATATATATATATATATATATATATATATATATATATGTGTGTGTGTGTGTGTGTGTGTGTGTCTGTGCGTCCGTGCGTGCGTTTGTGTGTGTGTGTGTGCGCGCGCGTGTGTGTGTGCAGATATGTAGAAGAAATTAGGAAAGAAACACGTTAGGTAAATCATCCGGAGTTCTTTAGTATTTTTGTTTTTATTTCTTGAAAACCGCGCTCCATACAGAAGTAGAGCTAAAATTATAATTATTTTTCAAAATATCTATCTATCTATCTATCTATCTATCTATCTATATATATATATATATATATATATATATATATATATATATGAAAAATGTAGTCTTCAGGTGTGCTATATTTATGGGCTAAAGTGCTCGATATCAGAGATAGAGTGTGTAAAGTGAACATTGAAGTCAACATTAAGAGGCGACAGTCTGTTCCATGCTGGACGCAATCGTCTGACCACAATGTGGCCTGACGATTGCGTCCAGCATGAAACAGACAGTCGCCTCTAAGTGTTGACTTCAATGTTCACTTTTGTATATATATATATATATATATATATATATATATATATATATATATAACGCCTGCAAGACAGGCTAACAGTCATTACTTACTTACAAAGGAGAGAAAACAATCTTGCGACATCTGTGAAAATATCAGTTTTATTTGTTGTTGGGTTGGCTGCTGTGGTAGACAGCGCTTAGATTTTCTATTCAAAACAACATCCCTTAACTCGCAGAAAATGGCGCTGTAAAATAAACTTATTTCTATTTCGCGTGCTTGTGTCGCCGACTTCTGCTTGAGAAGCCGGAAAATCACAGCGATTCAGCCTACCCAAAATTGAGACCCGATCGTTCGCATGTCGGACGTTTACGTATCTGACGAGGATGAGGACAAAAGTCCGAATAATGTAAATAATTATAATACCTCATCTCAGAAATGTAGGCAGATCCTGAAGAAGGCCGGATCGTACAACGGTCGAAATGCCGTGAATATGGCAATAAAGATGAGGACAACAAACCAAACAACGTAAATAGTGTAAATAATTACAATAACTTATCTCAGAAATATAAATAGATCTTGAAGAAGGCCGGAGTGTACAACGGCCGAAAAGTCGTGAATATGGCAACAGAGATGAGGACAACAGTCCGAACAATGTAAATAGTTACAGTACCTTATCTCTGAAATGTAGACAGATCCTGAAGAAACCCGAAGAGTACATCGGTCGAAATGCTGTGAATATGGCAATAAAGATGAGGACAAGAATCCGAACAATGTAAATAGTGTAAATATCTATGTTTTATTGTCCAACATATTTGATTTCAAACACAGAACTTTTAAAAACAGTCATTGTGGGACATGTGATCAAGGTAGAATGTCCCAGGAAAATGTGAAGCATAAAGAAATGTATACTTACAATCAGAAAGAGATAGCTGAAATTTTGGGGATGCATACTCAGGAGAGAGGTTTGAGAAAATCAATTTATTTGACAGTAATGTCAAGAGAAGAAGTGGGAGAAGTTGAGTATCCCATTT